TGCCAAAAACGGCGCCGTTTGGACCCAAAATGGCTCAGTTAGGGCCCCAAACTGGCCCAGTTGGGAGACCCAGACTGGGTTGGTTGGGAGACCCAAACCAGCTCTTGTCAGGGCCTCAAACTGGTTCAGTTTGGCCCCAAAACCAGCTTGCTCGGGGTCTCAAACTGGCTTGGTTTGACCCCAAAACCAGCTTGATTGTTGTCCCAAACTGGGTTCATTGGGAGACCCAAACTGGGTTCATTGGGAGACCCAAACTGGCCCAGTTGGAGACCCAAACTGGCTTGGCTTGGCCCCAAAACCAGACCTGGCTCAATTGTCCCCCAACTGGTTAATCTATCTCCAAACTGGTTCAGCCATCCCCAAACCAGTTCAGCAGCCCCCAAATTGGCTCCACCATCCCCAAACCAGTTCAGCTACCTCCAAACCATTCAGCCACCCCCAAACCAAATGTCCCAAAACCAGTTGGGCCACCCCCAAACCAATTGGGCCGCCCCCAAACCATTCAGCCATCCCCAAACCAATTGGGATGTCCCCAAACCATTCAGCCTCCCCCAAACCAGCTGGAATGTCCCCAAACCAGTTCAACTGCCCCCAAACCAGTCTGGCCATCCCCAAACCAGTTGGGATGTCCCCAAACCATTCAGCCACCCCCAAACCAGCTGGAATGTCCCCAGACCAGTTGGGCCGCCCCCAAACCAGTCGAGATGTCCCCAAACCAGTTGGGCTGCCCTCAAACCATTTCAGCCGCCCCCAAACCATTTCAGCCATCCCAAAACCATTCAGCCACCCCCAAACCGATTGGGATGTCCCCAAACCAGTTCGGCTGCCCCCAAACGCCTCACCGCAGCTCCTCAGCCGGCGTGGGGGGCAGCATGGCCTGGCTGCCCACCAGCACCAGTGGCTTGGTGGCCCTGCTCACCAGTTCCACGCAGCGCTGCACCTGCGACCCAAATCCACCTCGATTAGCCCCAAAAATGGGTGACAAAAAGCAGCTCAGCCCCAAACTTGGTTGGGTGCTGAATCTGGCTCAGTTGAACCCCAAAACCAGTTCCACTGAGCCTCAAAACTGGCTCAGTTGGGCCCCAAAACCCAGCCCTGTTGAACCCCAACATTGGCTCAGCTGAACCCCCAAACCAGTTCAGGTGAGCCCCAAAAATCAGCTCAGGTGAGCCCCAAAACCCAGCCCAGCTCACCCCCGAAAACCAGTTCAATTGGGACTCAAAACTGGCTCAAGCTGAGCCCCAAAACTGGCATAATCAGCCCCAAAAAAGAGCTCTGCTGAGCCCCAAAAACTGTCTCAGTTGGACCCCAAAACCCAGCCTTGTTGAACCCCAAAATTGGCTCAGCTGAACCCCAAAATCAGCTCAGCTGAGCCCCAGAACCAGTTGATTTAAACCCCAAATCCACCTTGCCCGACCCCAAACCCATCCCAACCCCTGCCAATGCCCCTCCTGAACACCCCAAAACCTCCAATCCATAGTGGGGATCCCCCAAATCCATTATCGGGGTGTCTCCCAAAATCCACCCCAGCCAATCCCAAACTCATCCCATGCCCCCAATACCCCCTCTGAACACCCCAAAACCCCCAATCCATAGTGGGAGGATCCCCCCAACCTCCCAGTCTGTAGTAGGGGGGTCCCCCAAACCCCCAATCCATTCTTGAGGCATTCCCCAAATCCCCAATCCATTCTTAGAGGGGTCCCCCAAACCCCCCCAATCAATTCTTGGGGGGATCCCCCAAACCCTCAACCCATAGTGGAGGGGGTCCCCCCAAACCCCACCTCATCCTCGGTGGCCATCGGCACCTGCACGGGCAACGGGGACACGTCCCGGGGCTCCCAAGCCCCCGCAAAGAGGTTCCGGATGTAATTTTGGAGGTACCTATTGGGGTGGGGGGGGTCAATATTGGGGTGCTGGGACCCCATAGGGTGCTGGAGGGGGGGCACAACTCACCATTGCACCACCTTTCCCTGCAGCCCCCGAGGGGTTTTGGTGCCCCCCACTTCCTTCTCCACCACGTGGAAGGGGTAGAGGATATCGATGGGGAGCTCCACGAAGACGGGGCCTACGAAATTGGGGTGCAAGGAGGAAGGGGGACATCCTAATGTCACCCCCAAATCACTGTTTGGGGTTAAAACCCCCCAATACAATCAACAACGCCCCAAAAACGCCGCTGAAAAACAAGCATGGAAGGGAAAACCCCGCCAACCAAGCGTTTTGGGGGTGGTTTTGGGATGGTTTTAGGGGTGTTTTTTGGGGGGTGTCCCCCCCAATATTTTACCGGGGGTCCCCGACTGCGCGGTGGCGATGGCTTTGCGGAGGGTGGGGATGATGTCGCGGACGGTGCGCACCGAGACGCAGACTTTGCAGAGCGTCCTGAAGAGCGAGAGTTGGTCGATGTCCTGCAGCGCACCCCGGCCCTACCAAATACAATCGATGAACCCCAAAAATGAGGGAAATCTCCCCAAAAATGAGGGCGGGAAGGGGTTGTTTTTTTTTGGGGGGGTCTCTCACCTTCTGGAGCGAAGCAGCTGCTCCCCCAATGAGCAGCACCGGTGACTCGGCCATTTGGGCGTTCTTGACGGCCGTCACCGTGTTGGTGACGCCGGGACCGGCGGTGACGACGGCGACGCCGATGCGACCTGCAAGGAAATTTTTGGGGGGTGTTGTCCCTCTGCACCCCGATTTTCAACTGGGGGGGGTTGAGGGCGTGCTTGGGTGCTCATCTCGTTGGCACCCAAGTGGTTGAATTGGGGCTGGGGGGTGGAAAATGGGTACGAAACCCATCATGGAAAGACCCTGGACACCCAAAAGGTCTTTGAACCCTTCTTGGGTCAACCAGGACCCAACCAAGGTTGGACACCCCAAAATTCTCCACCCATTGGGGTAGGAGAAGGTGTTGGCCATGGGGTCACCTTCTTCTCATCCTGTCCTCACCAAAGCAGCCACATTATCTCGAGGGGGGGAATAAATGGGTACAAAACCCATCATGGAAAGACCCTGGAGACCCCCAAAGACTTTGAACCCTTCTTGGGTCAACCAGCACCCAACCAACATGGGACACCCCAAAATTCTCCGCCTATTGGGGTAGGAGAAGATGTTGGCCATGGGGTCACCTTCTCATATCCTCACTAGTGTGGCCAAATTATCTCGAGGGGGGACAAAACCCATCATGGAAAGACCCTGGAGACCCCCAAAGACTTTGAACCCTTCTAGGGTCAACCAGGACCAAACCAAGGTTGAACACCCCAAAATTCTCCACCTATTGGTGTAGGAGAAGGTGTTGGCCATGGGGTCACCTTCTCATATCCTCACCAGAGTGGCCAAATTATCTCCAGGGGGGGACAAAACCCATCATGGAAAGACCTTGGACAACCTCAAAGTCTTTGAACCCTTCTTGGGTCAACCAGGACCCAACCAAGATGGGACACCTCAAAATTCTCCTCCCATTGAGGTAGGAAAAGGTGTTGGCAATGGGGTCACCTTCTCATATCCTGTCCTCGCCAGAGCAGCCAAATTATCTCCAGGGGGGGACAAAACCCATCATGGAAAGACCCTGGAGACCCCCAAGGTCTTTGAACCCTTCTTGGGTCAACCAGGAGCCAACCAAGATGGGACACCCCAAAATTCTCCACCAATTGGGGTAGGAGAAGGTGTTGGCAATGGGGTCACCTTGTCATACCCTGTCCTCACCAAAGCAGCCAAATAATCTCCAGGGTGGGACAAAACCCATCATGGAAAGACCTTGAACAACCCCAAAGTCTTTGAACCCTTCTTGGGTCAACCAGGAGCCAACCAAGGTTGGGACGCCCCAAAATCTTCCACCCATTGGGGTGCTGGCCATGGGATTCCCCCCTCCATGTCCCCACCTGAGAGCCTGGAGACGGCATCGGCGGCGAAGACGGCGGTGGCCTCGTGCCGGGTGTCCACCACGCGGATGCCGACCTTCTCGCAGGCCACCAGGACGGGCGAGATGTGGCCACCGGCCAAGGTGAAGAGGAAGCGGATGCCATGCGCCTTCAACACCTCCGCCACCAACTCGCCACCGTGCCGGGGGCTGCGGGGGTCCACCTGTGCCACGAGGGGGAAACAGGCAGCGTCACCAACCACCGGTGGGGTTCGCCTCAAAAATGGGCGGTTTTGGGGCAAAACTTTGGCCTTTTTTTGGGCAAGATGCGAGTGTTTTTACCCGTTTTGTCCTACCTTATGGCAGAGTTGGTAGAGGAGCCCAAAGCGATACGCCAATGCCACCAACGCCGCCGCCAACACCGCTGCCAGCCCGGCGCAGGCCGTGCCGATGATGGCGAGGAGAGCCATGGGGACACCGGGAGCTGGAGGACGTCACTGGGATGGGGGAAAGAAGGAGAAAACCCAGCTGTGGTTGGGTTGGATCAACTGGGAAGGGGCCGAAACCACCACGGTGTCATCAGAAGCCAACCCCGTGGTGGCCCTGGTGAATTGAGTCCAGTTTAATTGAATCTGGATTAATTGAATCCAGATCAACTGAGCCCGGATCAGCGGAACCCAGATCAATTGAACGTGGATCAACTGAACCCGGATCAATGAAACTCAGATCAACTGAGCCCAAATCAAATGAGCCCGGATCAATTGAATCTGGATCAACTGAGCCGAGATCAATTTAATTTGGATCAACTGAACCTGGATCAATGGAATTTGGATCAACTGAACCTGGATCAATTGAACCTGGATCAATGGAATTCGGATCAATTGAGCCCAGATCAATTTTATTTGGATCAACTTAGTCTGAATCAACTGAACTCAGATCAATTGAAACTGGATCAATGGAATTCGGATCAACTGAATCCAGATCAATTGAATTCGGATCAACAGAACTCGGATCAATTTAATTTGGATCAACTGAGCCTGGATCAACTGAACTCAGATCAGTTGAAACTGGATCAATTGAAACCGGATCAATTGAACCTGGATCAATGGAATTCAGATCAACTGAAACCGGATCAATTGAACCTGGATCAATGGAATTCAGATCAACTGAAACCAGATCAATTGAACCTGGATAAATGGAATTCAGATCAACTGAACCTGGATCAATTTAATTTGGATCAACTGAGCCCAAATCAACTGAACCCGGATCAACTGAACTCAGATCAATTGAACCCGGATTAACTCACTTTGGTTTACCTGAACCCGGTTTAACCAAACACGGTTTAACCAAGCATGGTTTAATCGCACACCATTTAATTGAACCTCATTAATTGAACCTGGTTGAATCAAACTCAGTTTAATTGAAGCTGGTGAACCCAGTTTAACCAAATCCAGTTTAACCGAATACGGTTTAAGTGAACCCAGCAAACTGAACCCGGTTTAATTGAACCTGGTTTAATCACACACGGTTTAACGGATCATCAATTGAACCCAGGTTCATCAAATACAGTTAATTGAACCCAGCTTAACCAAACCCAGTTTAACTGAATCCAGTTTAATTGAATCTAGTTTAACTGATCCTCATCAATTGAACCCAGGTTCAGTTAATTGAACACAGCTTAATCAAAGCCAGTTTAATTGAACCTGGTGAACCCAGCTTAACCAAATCCAGCTTAATCAAACCCAGTTTATTTGAACCCAGTTTAATCGAATCTAGTTTAATTGATCCTCATTAATTGAACCCAGGTTCATCGAGCATGGTTAACAGAACCCAGTTTAACCAAACCCAGTTTAATTCAACCTGGTTTAATGAGGTTCAATTAACTGAATCTGGTTTAATAAAATATGGTTTAATTGAACCTCATTAACTGAACCTGGTTAACTGAACCCAGTTTAATCAAACCCAGTTTAACTGAACCTGGTGAACCCAGTTTAACTGAATCCAGTTTAATCAAATATGGTTTAATTGAACCCAGGTTCATCAAATGTAATTAACTGATCCCAGTTTAATCAAACCCAGTTTAACCGAATCCAGTTTACCTGAACTTCATTAATTGAACCCAGGTTAATTGAACATAGTTAACTAAATCCAGTTTAATCCAACCTAGTTTAATGGAACTTTGTGGACTGAACCCAGTTTAATTAAGCCCAGTTTAAATGAACCTGGTGAACTGAACCCAATCAACTGAATCCAGTTTAATTGAACCCAATGAATCCAGTTTAATCAAACCTGGATTAACTGAACCCAATGAATCCAGTTTAATCAAACCCAGTTTAACTTAACCCAGTTCCACTTCACTGCCTCAACCCCGGCGCCAGCCCCAACGCAGCTCATTTGCATAATCACCACCTAATGAAGGCAGCTGTATCAGGTCACCCTGCTGCAATCCTTGGCACCCACATAAAGACCCGAGGGGAAAAGGCAGATAAGACCAAACCCGGCCTAATTTCCCCCAAAATTTGCCCCGTTTCAACCACTTCCCACACCCCAGGATGAATTCAGATGCCAAATTTTCTCCCTAAACCCCAATTTCCCCCCCCCTTTTGGGCTGAAAAAAAGGGTGGGTGGGCGCTGTGGCTCGCTGGTGGCAAATGCAAGAGCGAAACAGGGCAAAAAAAAAGGGTCATATTGGACAAATTAACCTCATTTTGGAGTTCAGCGTGTGCCCCCCACC